ACCAATAAAATATGAGAGCTAATGTTGAATTCATAAAATTTTAAGAGTATGTAATAATACAATTTTAACTTTAAGGAAGCATGACGGAGAAATATAAATGGTGTTGACAAAAAATTACTGCATTGTGTCAATGTATGCATTTCATCATTTTCATCAGACTTGTAAAGAAAGAAAAATTGTTTAGACCAGGGGTGTCAAACTGCCGGCCCACGGGCCGGATGTCAAGCAGAACCCACGCCCACCCCAGCTCCGGCAAGGAGAAAAAAATCACGATACGTTGTGACACGTCACATGATGCAGCGAGTTCGACACCCCTGGTTTAGACTATGTTTATTAGAGATATTTTATTTCAAAATTGTACAATTTACTGACCTCTGTCTATTGATCATACAAATCTATATCTAAGGAGGCAGTTTTTATACATATTTGGTGGTGCTCTAAAAATCTTATTTTATCTGGGATATTCCTCAGGAAAAAGTTTACTTGCCACTAGTTTTATTTAATTGTATAAAAACTGTGAAACAATAGCATACTAAATGTGCATTAGCAAGAATAGAGGGGCTGTTAACAACTAAATAGCAGAAGATAATTGACTTCTATTGATTTCTCTACAGAGAAATAGTATTAAAATAACAGGTTTATTATGATACATTAGTTCACTTTTGGCTATGATTTCTGTAGGGATAATTTCATTATATGTTAAATATTGGGCCTCATTTATAACTTAGCTGACAGCTAGATTCCCTTATGCTACTTTTTGCAATCAAACTTCATATTGTTATAAATGTCTTTCTCCTATAAAGGTAAGAGAAACTGTGCTGATTTAATTAACATTTGTTGTGTATTCTGATGATGTGTCTTGATTTTGTGTTATCTATTTTATGTTACTGTAACAGGTATTTTAAAAAAGATGTCTTAATGAATAATGATCATTTTATAGTTAGAGACTTTCTTAGGCATATATGCACAAATATCCCAGCCTATGACTGTACTGTTCACAGAATATATTAGTTAAAATCCATGCTTTCTCTAGTTTTCCCCCCTAGGCAGAATTTAAAATAATATTAATGATTTCCATGTCACGTAGATCTTTCGGACAAGATTATCTGAAAGAACCTTCTCCCTTTCCTCAGTTTTAAGATCACTTAAAGAGGATTTCTGCTGGTCCAGTCAGACAATCCATATCCAAGTTGAGTTGAAGCTAGACTTTGCCCTCTTTGCTGAAGGTGGTCATAAATGATCTTTCACTGATCAGTAAAGCTATTTCTAACTTGACAGATGTTTGGCCTATAGGCAGAATTTCCATTTACTGACACTAATTTCAGACAACTAACAACTAATGGTTTTTAGTTTTTATTCAATGTTTTTTAATTTTTATTCAATGTTTTGTTATTTTATTATATTTTTCTTATTTTATCCGCATTAAGAACTATTTAGAAGTCTGGATTAGGATGAGGAAGGGCTCTAGTTGCCTTCAGCTTTCCTTGCAGTTACAAACTAATCAGGATAAAATCCAGTTCTAGAGCATTTGAGAACTGATGCAAATCAGAATCAATAAAAGGACTACATCAATGAAGAAAACTGGCCTCATATGAGGGAACTTCTTTTGTCTATAGCCTTCTCTCTGCCTTGCTTTAGAAAGCTATACAAAACTCTTGTTTAAATGACAAAACAACAGAGTTGAAAGGGACCTTGGAGGTCTTCTAGTCCAACCCCCTGCTCAAGCACTTCAGGCAAATGGCTGCCCTATCTCTTCTTAAAAATCTCCATTGATTGAGCCCCCACAACTTCTGAAGGCAAGTTGTTCCACTGATTAACTGTTCTAATTCTCAGGAAATTTCTCCTTATTTCTAGATTGGTTGTCTCCTTGATTAGCTTCCATCCATTGCTTCTTGTCCTGCCCTCTGGTGCTTTGGAGAATATGTTGACCCCCTCTTCTTTGTGGCAACCCCTCAAATATTGGAACACTGCTATCATGTCACCCCTAGTCTTCTTGATATTTGATTACATTTTGTTTCTTTTTCTGCTAGTAAATTACTATTACATTCCTTTTTCTTTTACCTGTTTCTGATTTTTTAAACATTTCTGGTTAGAAGAACACCTTCCCTTTTAACCTTTTCCTTCATTTTTTTTTCTGAACCACTAAACAGTAATGCTCTTGTTTTATCTTGTATTGGATGTGCTGTATTTCCTGTGTTTTTAAATGCTAAGGGATTATGGTGTTTATTAGCTGTTGCTATTATTTCATCCGGAGTCAATTACTAAGCACAAACCCCACTTTTAAAATTGAGCACAAATAAACTAAATGAGCAAATTTAATACAATATAAACACAATAAAAAGATGTAAAACAGCTGTACATTTCAGTAGAAGGCAGCATTAAACAGGACTATTAAGTAGACAGAATGCCAGAAAAAACTGTGCCAGATACCCACACTTCACCATCAACATTACAAACAGTTGCGCTTCCCTGAGGAGAGCATTTTATGTGTCTTCTCTCCAGATATCACTAAGGTAGCTAACCCAAATATGTTTTAGTCCAGATTTTTCACTCATCACTCAAATAGAAAAAAGAAGGCAGATAAAAAACAAGGAAAGAAAGGGCAGATACAAAATTAACCCAGTTTCTCACAGTTATGACAAAACATGGAACAGACATTTCCGTCTGGTCAAATGGACAGGATAAACTGAAAAAAGTTTTGTTTGGTGGGTTTTCTTTTAAAATTCTTTTCAACCCAACAGAATGGCAGAAGGAAATTAAGTAAAGGAACTTGGGATTCTGTCCATCTGCAGGATAATTCTCCAAATTTAGTGGAATGGGAAGGCAACAACAATACAGACTAAAAATGAGCCAGATCTGGTCAGCAGAGGGGGAAAAAAATGTAGCACATCCTTATGAGAGAAGCAATCTGGACCAATGTCCTTCTTTCCTTCTTTCTAGTCGTATGTTTCAAATAACTGCTATTATTCAAGAAGTAGAAAGAATTCCAGAAGCTGTGTTCTGCAGTATCTTCCCTAATGTATTTCATTTGTTTACTCTCTTCCAATACTGTATATTTTCTTTTCTACTGAGGTATCCTGAAAACTATTTCTAATTTTTTAGATAGAATTGTGCAAGGGAGCAGGCTGATGATATGTTTGGATTATTAATATACTTCTATCACTCTCATTCTAAAATCAGTGGCTTCCATGAGTTCGCACTATAACATAAACAAGTTTGGATAAATCCAAACCTACTCCCTCCAATTAGATGTATGGAATGAGACCTCTCTGCTTTCACTGTACTTGTCCACATACAATTGGTGCATCTTGTTCTGTTTGGTGACACATACATTCAGTTGAAATATGGAGTACACAAAAAGGTTCCATTTTCCTTTTGTCATTTCTGACTGAACATTCACGCTGCCGCTTTACCTGAAAGCATCACTACATCAGTGGTGGCAGAGGACTTTTCTAAGTCAGTTTCTAAACTTCCAGCCATTAGTTTGGGACAATAAGCATGAACCCATTTCCATCACATCCAATCTTTAACAGCCTCTAGACCAGAGGTAGGCAACCTTGACTCTTTTATGACTCGTGGACTTCAACTCCCAGAATTCCTGAGACAGCATGGCTAAGCATAGAAACCTCTCCCTTTCCCCTCAGCATGGCTGGCTCAGGAATTCTGGGAGTTGAAGTCCACAAGTCATAAAGGAGCTAAGGTTGCCTACCCCTGCTCTAGATACTGAGAAAGGGACACAACTGCATTTCCTGCTGTGCCAGAAATGGCAGTTCGTATAGATAATGGTTACGGACGGAAGGGCTGAGCCACACCACAGAACACTTAAAAGATTCATCCTCTCTCTCCACACAACTACTGACCGAGGCCAGCCAGTAGCAGAACCACTGCAACACAGAGTCCCCCTTTCCTCGTTCCTTTCAGGTGGCTCAAAAGGATTCCCTTGTTGATGGTACTGAATGCAGACAAGGGAGCCAGCAGGGCCAGGAGAGAAACATTCCCCTCTCCTGGTCCCAACACTAATCTTTTATTCATTTTATGCACAATGGAAGATCCAGCCACAAGGCTGTCATTGTGTGATGTTGATGACTTTTGCTTATTTTAAACTGTGTAGATATGATATTTAGAAGGCAATGAAAGCACTTCCTTTTTTCTTCGTATAACTTTCTATCCTATGAATGAGCCCATTCATATAGAAAACATAGAGCTAAACCCAAGGATGGGTTTTGTGTTACCACAGAGCACTTCTGTTTGTCTAAGTCATGACATCTTTTATTTTCTTTATGTCTTCTAACTTTTACATCCCTTTGCTGTACAACATATTTTTCTGTGAAAATCTCTCCTAACCTTTTGAAGACTTGCAGTGAAAAATGAAAATCAGAGTTCAAGAAAAATTGAGCACAGAAGTTAGATGAGGAAAGGTCTATACAACATTTCAGATAAATCATCTGTTTGTCTGGAAATCTAGACTTTAATACAATTACATTATGAGATTACCTGATGGAAGTATTTTTCCTCCTGGAAGAGCCTGTCTATTGTTATTCTGCTTCTTTTTTTGGGTAAGCAACTTCTCACACAGTAATGCATTTTCATCTCTCTCTTTCTTTGTGTACACAGGTAATCCTTGTTTAGCAACCACAATAGGGACTGGCAACTCAGTCGTTAAGAAGTGGTTGCCAAGTGAAACTGTGCTTATGATCCGATTTCAACTTTCCTTTGTTTTACAGTCTTGGATTGTTGTAAAGTTAATTTTTCATCACCGCCATCACCACAAATCAACACTAAACTTGGAAGTCCTAGACGAGAACTACCTGGACTCTCCATTTCAGATGCAATATAGCAGCTTTCAATGCCACGTTCTTGTAATTTACTATAAAATACCTATAAAATGGCATTTTTTTTCTTATTGGCTTTACCACTAACTATCCATTCTTAGGCAATGTCAGTCAGGAAAAAACTATAATATATTTTGAATACAAACATTTATTTACAAATAAGTTTACCTGAAACAGTATGCTAGATGTTGGTTTCACTCTTTGCTGGAATAGCACATTTAGTGTTTGGTTTTGTTGTTCCAGATCAAAAACTCTTGTTTTCAACTTCAAGCATTCTTCTCTCAAATTCTAGAACAGGAAAGAAAATGGCATAAATAACAACAAGATAATCACAGAATCACAGAGTTGGAAGGGACCTCGGAGGTCATCTAGTCCAACCCCCTGCTCAAGCAGGAGACCCTTACAGAATGACAGAGTTGGAAGAGACCTCGGAGAATTAGGGTTATCTGACCCCAAAATTATGTCAGTACTAGAATACACATGATATAAGATCGAATCTTTAAAGTTAACAATGTGCATATATTTCAATATAGTTTCAGCACTATTAAAGAGTTAATAGTGTTTCTTTACTCACTATTTTACTTACTTCTATCTTTGCTGACATCTGTCCTAAAACTAATCCATTGTGGACATAAATTATTTCAAACTATAGGGCATTGCACATCAGAACAACTAGACATAAGGACAGTTTTTTCCCCCCATGCCGTCACTCTGCTTAACAAATAATTCCTACAACACTGTCAATATACTAGTAAAGCTATATTACTATGATACTCCTCATCTTTCCTATTACATATCCTTATCTTCTTACGACTATAACTTTGCTGCTTGTATCTTACAATTTATATTGGGGGTTTTTTTGTACCCTAATATGATTTATGTTGTTTGCTTAGTTAGTACTCTATGACTATCACTAAATGTTGCATCTTATGATTTATGTTGAAGTGTTGCATTTTACGATTTATGATGAATGCATTTTCATGTTGTATATGATCATGATTATCACTATTACTTGTATGTACACGGAGAGCTTATGCACCGGAAACAAATTCCTTGTGTGTCCAACCACACTTGGCCAATAAAGAATTCTATTCTATTCTATATTTTTGCCAGGTGAGTGTATAAGACTATTTTGATGATTTCTGCTATGTCTGTATAAATAATAAAGAATAAATACAATAAAATATAAATTATTATATGCTAATTCATTACTTCCCCATAAGGAACAGTGTTCTAGAAGTATTCTTATATAGGGCTGAGTGTTGGAGAAAGATGAGCAAAGTTAGTTTATATTTCATCCCAAGTAAAAATGGGAAAAGCGAACCAACGCCAGGTGAAAAGAAGATAAAAGCTACACTGAGCAGAGGTAGCTATATTTGACATGAGAATATTACACAGTTTCTCTTAACCTCTGTGTTATAAATCAACCAGCACTGGCATCGTATCTATCCCTTCTCCACTGATGTCTCCCTGTGAAACTTTAAATCTTCAGTGAGGAATATTAGTCCTCTTAATATTCCAATGAAATCTGAAAAATTATAGTCCACAAAAGCCAGCTATTGTGAAGATATACAAGCAAGTCAATGAATCATTCCCTCCCTTCCTCCCCCTCTTTGATGTGGGCCAGGACAATATAGGACAGAGCCTACGGGAATAATTTATGTTTCCCATGGATATAGGGTTCTTTAATATGTCTGGGAAATCTGTAATGGGATGAGATGGAGTAAGAGGGATTTTGCTGAAATTACAAACTTTTTCCAGCAAATAGTTCTGGTTAAATAGCACAAAAAAAATGAAGATTCAAAAGCATATAGGAAAAACAGGACATTTGGAGTCACATATAGTTCAGTAGTTATTCTTCAGTCTACTTCTTTCTGAATTCTTTGAAGTGAGTCTGAAGGAACTTTTTATCATCTTTGGTGGACATGTAAGAAAGCTAAGAATTATTAGGATCAAATAAGCATTCTAATTCAGAGAATTCTTAAAATAAATGTACAGTTGAGACCAGGTTTGATAGAGAAAAAAGTTTGTTTTTATATACGATAACAGCAGCAAGACTTTTGTATGCACAGAAGTGGAAAATCCTACAGATTCCCACAAAAGAAGAATGGATGGTGAAGTTAATGGAACTGTCTTAAGATGGCGAAATTAACTACTTTGATTTGAAAAAAAAAAGTCTTTGACTAGCTTTGTTTTATGTGGAAACTACTTTTGGACTTTTTGCCAGAAACTGAAAGAAATGCTGTATTAATTTTGAGATTTGGGTAGAAACACAGTGTATCATTGAATTTTAGATCAAAAGGTTAAGTATATATAAGTATAAGTATATATATGTATAATTCAATAAGATTTAAAAAAAAAAGAATTTGAATGGAGTCAGAGTTTCATTGAGAAAAATCTCTTGAAATTAGATCAAGTTTATTCAAGGACCAAATTGGACACACAGGTGCATAAGCTTAAGCTTTTGTCAGTGGTACAAATAAAATTGTGGTTCTATATATACTAGTAGCACCAGCTGGGTGACAGCAATAGTGAAGTACATCTGATGTCAAAAATTAAGCAGAGTTGGACCTTGCTAGGATGGAAACAACTGAGAACCTCTAGAAGTTGAATTCCCCCCCCCCCCAGAAAACATAGTGGTAAACTTCTTTTATACTTCTAATAAGAAAAAATGGATGTGATCGTAAGCTTGACGTGAAGATTTTCCAATGCTAATATTGCATATGCTTGTATCTGTCAGGGTTGTTTACTTCCCAATTTTTTGCAATTAGAGAATTATACAGAAATCACAACCCAGGAAGTCTTGTCATATGCTCATATGTGAAAATACAGAAACTATATATGTTCTTTGAATGTTGCACCTTTGAGAAAAGGGATAAGGCACATATTTTGTTAATCATTTTGCATATTAGCAAAATATTTGGACAGCCAACACAGTTATGGGTTCTCTATTCCAGATTCACTAAAGTACTGACATGAACAATTGATTTAGCCATAAAAGTTAAAGCTTTTTGATAGGTGCTTGGTTCTGTCCCATCAGCATACACTGTAACTCTAGGATTTAACTTTCTGGCCATAGATATGATAGCTATATTCTATTTCCAAGAATGGCTATCTGTAAACATGTAGATAACAAGCGTACAAGAAAAGGACCATGGTAGAGAAATGGTTTGCTATTGCTCCTTTTGGGGATATTTTTTCACTTCCACTCATAGGATTTACAAATGGTCTGCTAATCAAAGGCCAACCTGGTCCAACCTTGCTTGTTTTTTTTTTTTTTAACAGTTAAGATCACTAGGCATTGCCACTTAGCTTATATAGAAAATTTAAACCTTTGTCAAGCTTCAGCAATAAGGACAAGCAAAGAAATACATGCCTATATGTTGTTACTGTATATATGGCATAGAAATGTCTTAAAATTGAAAACAAGCACATTGCTTTTCTTTCTATAGTTTATTTTTGGAAGCATGCATGACCGAAAAGAACAATGTTTAGCTTCCTGTGTGTGTATTCATTAACAATATTAACAAGCTATAGAAGCACATAAGCCAGCTGAAGCTACAGATTAGAATATGGAAAAGTCTAAAATAACCCAAGTGTTTGTTTTCTCTTATGCTGTGTTAAAGCCAGCATGATGGAGGAAAAAAGAAGTAGGAGGGGGTAACAACACAATGGAACACTTTTGTTATGAGATAGCCAGAAAAAACATAGCTTAGCTTTAATTCAAAGTTAACATTAAATGAACTTAAGAAATCATTTTGCCTGAGCGCATTACCAGGGCAGTGCTTATTTAAAATACCCCTAAGGCTAACCAAGTTATATATTCTCTGCCTACTAAAGTGACAAGGAGGCAATGATATTTTATTTGAAGTGCAGCACAATTCTAAATCCTTTAATTCAGCAAATAGATGCTCTGGTAATAACTGCATCATCGCAGGCCTCACACGGAGAACTATTATAGATATTCTGTTTAAGCAAGCAAAAGTGCTAATGCTACTTCTTAAAGGGTTTCTAATAAATAAGATATGGAGGAGCTAGCAGCTAAAATTAAGATTGAAAACCACAGACTTCAAAGGAATAAATGTTTTATGAGATCCGGGAATTCAGACTAACTTAAACTGAGCACCACCACCCATGTTTCATTTCAAAACCTAGATGTTGACATTACTTGTTCCTAGATTTAAAGTTAAATTAAAATGTGACTGGCTAGAACAGTGTTTCTCAACTTTGGCAACTTCATGATGTACAGGTAGCCCTCGACTTATGACCACAATTGAGCTCAACATTTCTGTTGCTAAGTGAGACACTTGTTAAGTGAATTTTGTTCCATTTTATGATCTCTCTGGCCACAGTTATTAAGTGAATCACGGCAGTTGTTAAGTTAGCAACAGAGGTGTTATGTGATTGTGGTTTCCTCATTGATTTTGCTTGTCAGAAGGTAGCAAAAGGTGATCATCATGACCCTGGGACACTGCAACAGTCATAAATACATGCCAGTTGCCAAGTGTCCGAATTTTGACCTTGGGGATGGCGCAATGGTGTGAGTGTGAAAAATGGTCGTAAGTGTGAAAAATGGTCATAAGTCATTTTTTCCAGTGACACTGTAACTTTGAACGGTCACTAAACAAACTGTTATATGTCAAGGACTATCTGTAAAGACTTCAACTCGCAGAACTGAACTATTTAAAAGTAGAAGTCTAGGTATCTTAAATCATACCAGAAGAGATGGATGGATGGATTACACTTTTTTGTACAGCAAGAACAGTGTTCCTCCTCCATAACAACCCCTTGGATAGGTTTGGCTGAGAGAAACTAGCCAAAATCACCCAGGGAGCTTCTGTTGCTTTAGGCAGACTAGAATTTGGGTCTTGTCATTCCTAGTCCAACACCCCAATCACTATTACCACATGGGCTCCAAAATTTGTATTTCTTGCAAATGTGTAACTGAGGGGCCCTTGGTGCTCTCGGAGCTTGGTTGTTTTCTTGCAGATGTTTCATTACCCAAAGTAGGTAACTTCATCAGTGCATTATCTCATTTTAACCCTGTGCTACAAATATTCTCCTTTAAATGTATGACTGGAAGACCCTTATTTCTTCTTCAGTTTTTAATGTATCTCTGAATCCAAACTATAATCTGCAGAGACAATAGGAACAAACCCCATAATAACAATCCTATTCACAATGGAATATATTTTTTCTTCATATTTCCTGCTCAAAATTGAGTTCACTAAAGGCATTCCATGTCTTATAAAGAATACACATATCCAACATGCCTATTTTAAACTATAGATTAGATGTCAAGCATTCAATGATCTTGATAAATCTCTCAAGTTTTTGTTCTCATTTGATAACATATCCTGTTAGAATCACAATAATTTGATATACTTTGGGGATATTTGTACCTCATTCTTTAAACCATCGTTTAATTAGATTTAATTAATTTAAATAATAAAAACACTACCAAAAGTATCCCTTAAAGGACGAGTGAAGTTTCATAGTGTAATACACATGATCAGTGTTCCTGTTAGGAGTTCTTCAGATTCCTTCTGTATTTATAAAGTCCCTCTGGGGTATCATCTCTTGGTGACATGACTTGTTCTGTCTTAGTGTAATGTAGTAGAAGACTTATCTGTTTACAGGATCTTACTTGGATTAGTGTAGAAGACATTTGTGATTGACCCCCAAAGCAGAATTTCCTATTTACTGTATAGTTTTGCCTTCTTGTCCTTTTGTATAAATGCTCTCAGTCCAGATAGCATTGTAAAAGGGCTGTAAGAGTTAACATTCATTAACATTTAGAATGCTTTGTGTTTCAGCTTCAAGATATTAAATTAGCTGGTGTTACTCAGAAAAGGCTGTGTATCTGTCAAATGTTGTCAATATCAAGCAAATCACTTTATTAAATGCATTTTAATCTATATTCTTGGTCCACTGACAGGGAGTCCATACAACCTGTAGCTTTTGTATCTTCTAATAATGGTAAAAAGAACAGTTATGGGGGGGAAATTAATCCTAAAGGTACTATAAATATATTATGAAAATATTATCTCCCCTTTCTTCACTGTTTTTTGTTTTGGTTTCTTTGTAGTTTTGAAAATGGAAGGATGATGCTTTTAAGTAAGATAATGCTATATTGAGAAGAACACAATCACAAAGACACCCGCATAGAAAGTATTGTTATGTTGTAGAATGCTAATCTGATTCTTGTAGGCCCTTGAAATTAGGATTTGTTTAGCAGACACACATGGAATATATTCCAGTGGTTCATTTGTTTCCTTAATGTTTCATAGATATTATGGAGTTAAAAGATTAAAGCATCTTTTAACTCCATAATATCTATGAAACATTAAGGAAACAAATGAATCACTGTTGAGAATTGTGCAAACCTCATTACTCAAAAGTCCCACATCCTCTTGAATGCTTGGTGTTGGTGCACCCCATTTCCTGAAAGCACATGCAGGCATCTACCAACTATACTTACACTGACACACCTGTCATGTACGTGGAACTTTTAAAAGAGCCTGATATTTTTGTTCTTGGAGAGATGGATCTGGGTAGGTTCTCTGCCATGCACCCCTGCAAATGGATTTCTTACAATCCTAATAACCATGGCCACAAAGATGATCAAAAACCATGTAGGTTTTTTTTTGGGGGGGGGGTTCAGAAAAAAATAATTATAAAGCAAAAATGTTATTCCAAACCAAAAAGTACTAAAAAAGGAGGGAGGGGGAAGGGAGGGAGGAAGCAAAGAAAGAAGGAAGGAAGGACTAGCCAACTGTACAAACTTTCTCCCTGTAATATCCATGTGATAAAGTATAAACAGAATATTATTTGTTTTAAAAAGTTATTTGTCCTCAACCTTCTTCCAGGATATTTTTTCCAGTCTTTCTTGTAAACTAGTTGATTTTTCATGTAAACACTAATTAACTTGCTTAGTGTCCTGAAATTAGCTATGTGCTGCTATCTAGTGGAGTATTTAGGGAACACAGGTTGGGTTCAACTCAACCACAAAGGGACCGGATAATCAGAGTGAAGCAGTTCAAACATTAAGTGAGGCATCATGTGACTGCACCCAATTTTTCTGTGGTCAATAGTGAGACATCACATGGCCATGACTTGCAAGACCTTCCCTGCCAGCTTTTCCACTGATGTTGCTAGTTGGAAGCTGGCTGAAAAAGTTGCAAACGGCAATCGTATGACCCTGCTGCCATCGTAAATATGCAATGGTTGGCAAGCACCGATATCACAGTCATGTGACTGTGAGGATGCTGTGATGGTCGAAAATGCAAGGACCAGACGTAACTTTTTTCAGTGCAGTCATAACTTAGAATGGCCACTAAAGAAATAGTCATACACTGAGGACTATTTTTACCTAGCTTTGCATCGTATGTTCCAAACACAAACAATCAAATTGCCCTAGACTCCCTGAAAATATGATATACAAGAAAAATATACCACTCTTTTTTTAAACAGTGGGCCATCACTGGGCACACAATCTCTTTTTCCCTCTGCAACCATTCAATTATGCCAATACACTAACAGGAGCTCCAAAACAATGCAGCATATAGCAATAGCAATAGCAATTTAGACTTATATACCGTTTTACAGTGTTTTACAGTCCTCTCTAAGCCAGAGGTCTCCAACCTTTTGGGCACCAGGGACTGGTTCTATGGGGAGAGGTTTTTCTGCGGACCGGAGGGGGGTGTTGTTTTGTGTGCTGCCTGCATCTCGCGGATGAGGCTTTGCTTGTTTGTGCGGACTAGTTGCTGGCATGCCACGGCCCAGTACTGATCCACGGACTGGGGGTTGGGGACCCCTGCTCTAAGTGGTTTACAGAGTCAGCATATTGCCCCCAGCAATCTGGGTTCTCATTTTACCAACCTCAGAAGTATGGAAAGTTGAGTCAACCTTGAGCCGGTCACATTCGAACTGCTGGCAATCCGCAGAATTAACCTGCAATGCAGCATTCTATCCACTGGGCCACCACAGCTCTTTATAGACTCACATAGGAACAGAATTGGATGGAACAGAATCTGGCGGAAGATTAAGTTATAGCACGCAAAACTGTTGGGAAGGGAAAATTTTCAAGGAAACAAAAAAGTCCAGTTGTCTTTTGGAAAAAAGCACGTTTGGGACAACCATGACCCAGATGATTAAGAATCTCCATAGACAAATGGCAAAGTCCTCTTCTAGATGAATAAACTCAGCCTTTGTTGGGGGAAAGGGTGGATTAAAGTTTTGGCAGACAAAGGAAAAGGTAAGTCTCCTTTTCCCTTGTTCCGGGAAAAAAAAAAGAGATAAACCCACAATGCAAATGTAATTTTATGCTGCTTCAGGCCACCGCTGTTTTGCTTTGATTTGTAACCCTAGAGCAGTGTTCCTCAAACTTCACAACTTTAAGAAGTGCAGACTTCAGCTCCCAGAACTCTCCAGCCAGCATGGGTTTACACTTGCCAAGTCTTAAAGTTGGCAAGTCTGAAAAGCACTGCCCTAGAGCATATCTTGCTACAGAAAAAATGAGCTTCAGTGTCATACATAAATAATAACTAAAATACAGTATATAAAATAAAAAGACTACACACATATAAGCTGGGAGAAAAGCGAGAAAATTCAATTCATATTGCATAGCAGCCCCAACCAAGTTGGCTATCTTCAAGGTGCATTTCAAGAAAACTAAAAACAGCTGCATGTCTCATTACATGTGTAAGAATGTGATTGTCTGTGGCCCCACATGTAAATGAACATGTTAAGCAAAGCAATCAGTTGTTCTAAATCTGTAAGAATGGCATCACCTAGTATCTAAAACAATGGGGTCATATTCCAACGCTATATATTACCAGTGATAAATTTATTAAATGTTAACACTCCCAAATATGGATGAGATTTCAGGTCCAGCTTAACTTGGAAGTAATCTTGTAAATTATTAAAGTCTACTCAATGGCTAAGAGCCTTCTGCCTATTCTGCAGGATTTTATCAGCAGGAAGACACTGCTTTGTGTTGGTTGAAATAAATTCTTAATCTTCATTCAATGGCCTCAGAAGGAGAATCAATGGGATTCCTAGTGATTCAACGCAATATATCACCATGTTCAATTTACTGGATAAAAAAGGTTGATAGTTTTAGTTAAGTATTTTTTTTCCCTTTGGCACCACAGAGAAAATAAATGACTTACCTTCTGAGTAAGCAGAGCTTGTACAACCTGGTTGGCTACCTATAAAAGAAATAAATCATAGCTGAGAATTATTTTTCACAATTGGGGGAAAAAAATAAATTCTCCTAACTTCCATAGAAACCGAGTGTCTATTGTTGTTTTTTTTAATGTCAAAACTTGGTAGGTTTTTTTTTAATTTTTATTAAGTACAAAGAAAAAAAAAGGATTAAAAACATTGAACATGGTAAATCGTCTTTGACTGACATCTCAGTCCATATTGTATATTAATTACATATAATATATCTATATACAAACTATACATTTCTAGTCTCTATCTCAGTTTATCTCTTTATTGTGACCTCCATTTTTTCCCCTCCATCTATAAAATTTCTTCCATATTCGATAAAATTCTGTTTCTTCCTGATTTTTTAATCTTTTAGTTATCCTGTCTAGTTCTGCACAATACATAATTTTCTTTATTAGTGCTTCCCCACTCGGTACTTCCATTGCTTTCCACTTTTGAACAAATAGTATCTTTGCTGCTGTGACCACATGGATAATTAAATGTGTGTCCTCTTTATTTACATTTTTCTCTAGTATTCCTAATAGGAATGTCTCCGGTTTATATTGAATGTTTTGCCTAGTCATTTCTATTGCCCAATCCCAGACCATACGCCAGTACACCTGTGCTTCTCTACATGTCCACCATACATGAAAAAAGGTGCCCTTTTCTTTTTTACATTTCCAACACATAGATGAATATCCATTATACATTTTGGCTAATCTAAACTCGGTAGTTTTTTAAATGACCCCCTCAACACAACGTTTTTCACCCTGCAAAGTGAAAGGGGTAGAACCAATTCAGACCAGGAGCCACACAAGTCAATTAGTTTGAAGGTAGAAACCAGCATTTCTCTCCTCCAAATGGAAAAGGCAACCCTGAAAGTATCAAAAAGGAAAAAAAAAAAAAAGATCATCTGTTCATTGCAGCTAGGTGGCGTTGCATGCTCCAGAAAATTAAAATACCTACAGCTCAATCAGAGTAGAATTTTACCATACTTTTTTTTATATAGACTTAAATCAAATAACAAAAGCTTTGATTTAAAGAACTATGTATACCATTAATTTTACTCCATTCTTTCCTCATCTACTAGGATTATTATTTTCTGTATTTTCATCTTATTTAGTTTCCTATTTATCATTAAATTTAAAATTCCAAATTAGATAAAGTCTATCACATATTCTTATTATGCGATTAATAATAATTGAATGAGCGATATACTACCATTTTTGTTTTCTGCTATGAAGCCCTTTTTATGTAAATGATTGTTTAGAAATTAGATACCCTTTCTTCCACTAATGTGATTTAAAAATTTTGTTTCCTGTGAATTAGAATTTAATACAGGAATTCAGCCTTTTTCTAAATACTTATATTTTTATAGAAGTCAAATGCTTGAAATGATTCACGTTCTCATAAAATGCCTGATTCCCTTCCTATCATTTCCAAAATTGTTCTCTAACCTAAGGCATCACAGACAGCAAAGGTCATATAAAATAGCTATCTCTATGATTTAATAATACAAGACACAGATTAAAACTGTAGTTAGAACTCACAAGAATATATAACTATAACTTTTTGGTAAGAGTGGCACAGAAGAAATATGCTATATTGGTTTTTTTTAAATCTACAAATAAGCAAATACTTTAAACTTCACGATTAATATCCTAAATTTTGGGAGTTCTGTAAAGTACCCACATATTCATTGAAACAACTGCACATAGACAAAGTGATATAATAAGAGAGGAGAAGGATAAAATATTTCAGGAATTCTACAAATTTTAATAAACCAAGTGTCTGAAATTAAGATAGTATATTGGGAAGATGATATATGGATGCTTTTATTTATGGAATTACTAAACAACTGCCTAACAACAGCAAGATGGAGCATTAGATACTATATGCTAACAAATAGATTATTACAAATGTCACAAAATATTATGTAATGTGCGTAAGGTAAATTAATGCCTTAAAATAAAATCAATACTTTTTTTCTTTTTTCATGCTACAATTTCCTGAGCTTATTTATTTATTGTTCAGGGAGGCAGGGAGGAAGGAAGGAAGGAAGGAAGGAAGGAAGGAAGGAAGGAAGGAAGGAAGGAAGGAAGGAAGGAAGGAAGGAAGGAAGGACATAAAGTGCTGTTTACACTACAGTTTAATTCAAGTACACAATATATTTTTCCTTAGAGGAAATAACAGAGATTTTAATTAATTTGAAAGCAACTGTTTCAGGGATAACTTTTAAAAAGAAGAATGTTAGTCCTTTTAAAAAATAATAATGTTATTTATTTATTAGCTTTTTATCCTACCTTTCTTACTTTATAAGAAACTCAAGAAATGGAAGAAATAAAATACTTCTTCTCCTTTTTTTACTCACAATGGGATCTATCCAGCAATTCTGAAAAAAGATGAATCTGATCTTTTCTTTCTTATTTCTTATCTCAGGTCCCATTTTGGTTGTGTATTCTTCCCTCTTACTTTCTTCATGTCAAGGGCTGTCCAGTATTTGGCCTGTAGTTCCCTTATACTCTTTGGGCAAAAACTAATTTTAATTTATATAACAAGGGTTTAAAAACATAATCCCTTTCCATCTACAGTGCAATCAAAGAGATTAGCTTGGGCAATACTATTCTTAGCCATGCAAGTGAGGTAACACACTCTTAAAGTTTATGGCTTATTGGCTCTATTTAATTTCATTATTCAGTTATCAATTTTGATAGCAATAGTGCATGCTGAATCATTTTTTTAGTGATTGCAAATTGATTGGATTTTATCTTCTTTAACTTTGTTTTGGTTTCATAATTTTATTGTGCGAAGATCAACCATTCGATTTTTCATTTGGCTTGTTTGCTATACTACTTTAAAATGGTGTCATCATAATGACCTTCGCCATTATAACACAAAAGGCTATATCTGCTTACCACTACACCCCTTCCAAACTATGCCACTTAACAAACAATATCCAAGTCTTCTTTGTCAAAGTAACACTTCTTAGTAATTCTATTTTTTTCCAAGGCCACCACTTCTTAGTAATTCTATTTTTTTCCAAGGCCCCCACAGGGAATATATCTGGCTATCATAATCTGCCTATTTACTGCAAAACTGTTAAGTCTCCTATGATTTTTATCTTCTCAGTTGCCAGGCTTCCTTGGACCATCTCAGACACATGGCTTTTCAAGCTTTGTTTGAAAACCTCTAGTCATGGAGCATCAGTGACTCCAGGAGGCAGGCTGAAATTCTCATGGTCAAGAAATTAAGGATTAAGGAGGAATTTCAAGACCATGAGAATTACAGTCTGCCTCCTAGAGTCACCGATGCTCCGTGCCTAGAGGTTTTCAAAGCATGGATAGCCATGTGTCTGGGATGGTCCAAGGAAGCCTGTACTGGGCGGTAGACTGGACCAGAAGAACCATGAATCCCTTCCAACCCCATGGTTTTACAACTCTAAAGCCACGAGCTTCATTCCTTCATATTCTTTAGTTCACGGATAGACAAAAACCTCCCACTTTTTAATTAGTAGAGAAGATATTGTTGGTCTTGATGCCTGGAGTTTTGAGCTAAAAGAACTTTTGTTATTTGGGAAAAAAAAGGATACAGCAAAATCTGTGTGAAAATCGAACTGCCTACGATGGCTCCTTTGCAATAATTCTCATTATCCTAAGAAATTTGCTAATAACTGAAATGAAACTATGTGAATTAGTTTATGATTCAGACATATAGCATTCTACAAATAATAGAATGGTTGTCTGAAAGACGGCCAGTTATATAAATATTTTCAATAAATCAGTTAAAAAAATAATTAAAAACTTGAGATTGAGAATTAAAAGAAAACAGAAGCAAGTCAGAAAGCTGAGTATGGGAGGGAGAAGGGGACATTTAACCAAAGACTAGTCACTAGGAGACCAACTTTCCATCCATCTCACCTCATCAAGACACCTTTCATACTGCTCTCGCTGATTTTTATTTTCCATAGCCAGTGCGGAATTCTCTGCCTGAAAGACACACAAGCACATACATACAAACAAAAATATAAATTAATTAGTGGATTTAGTGAAGAACATGACAATTATACCGGCAGTCCTTGACAGTTCATTTAGTAACCATTCAAAGTTACAACGGTAGTGAAAAAAAGTGACCTTATGACTGTTTTTCACAATTAGGACCATTGTACCATCCCCATGGTCATGTGATCAAAATTCAGAATTTGGCAATAGTTCATAATAATGATGATTGCGGTATCCCCTTTTGCGACCTTCTGACAAGCGAAGACATTGGGGAAGCCAGATTCACTTAACAGACGTGTTATTAATTTAACAGTTGCAGTGATTCATTTAACAACTGTGGCAAGAAATGTTGTAAATGGGGCAAAATTCACTTAACAAATGCCTTGCTTAACAACAGAAATTTGGGGCTCAAATGAGTAAGTCAAGTACCTATGTTGTGTATGTAATCTCATCATCTCATAACCGTGTAGGATAAATACACAGTTCTTTATGATCTAATGTAAACTTCAAATTTTTTTAAAAAACCCTCCAAATACATGTTGTTGTTCAGAAATAACACAAATTCTGTTAACTTTATTAAATTACACGAGCAATATATTGCAATTTAGAAGAGTCAGACAGGTCTCTGTAATGTTTCCTTGACAGATACTGAAAACAGCCTTTAGTAAAAATACTGCAATGGATATTTGTTATATCAATTTTCTTTTATTCAAGTCTAGGTGCTAGGAAACCATGTGCTAGGAAACCATGAGTCAAGGGCATTCTCTTCCCTCTCTAAATCAGAGAGCTTTGTTTAATATTAACAGATTTACAACTACAATAATAAAAACTAATTTCCTTTTATCATTCAGACATCATAGCACTGATGGCTAGGGCAGTCATATTTTCATTTTCATTTGTTTTAATTATTTTGGTTCTTGAACATGCATTTCCCTTACTATATACACAATATTTTGTTCAGAACAATAGCAGAACAGGTATATAAGCTTTTTCCATTAAAGCAAACCAACAAAGAAACCTTCAAGACTATAAAACTAAATTCATCAGTACAAACTAAAGCAGGAAAGGTGGTTCGATTCAACAGTAAATTCCATGATATCACTGCATCTGGGCAACCCACAAAACTAAGGCAACCTTTTTTTCAACAAATCTGCTTCTCAAAAGCAGAAATCTCTTCTGGCATTGGAAATGCCAGGTGAAGGCTGAGGGAGGAAACAACCATGATCACCTCTGTGTCACAATGAGAAAGGTGTCATTTCTGAAGCACAAAAAATCTTCTCTGAAAGAAACCCAAGAGTATCATACAGTGCAAATCCCATTCTAGTCCATATAAGTGATATTTTAATAAAAACGTTGCAAAGAAAAAGGTGACTCTGTTCAGAATTCATTCAATACCTTTACGAACCATCTTTTCTCTAAGAGCCAAAAGTGGGATCAAATTCTGTCCTACAACTAGGCCATCTCTCCATACATCAATTATGTGAGATAGGCCAGGTCACTCATTTATCATTGCAAGATCTTTTGGTTCATATCATGGCTGAGGCTGAAACTGAAATTGGATCTTCCTGATAGCTATTCCAACATATTAAACACTATCTGACCTGTATGGATGGTGCCCATCTGAGTAAATAAGCATTAGCACTCAGTGAATAAGATTGCTACTAGTAAATAAAACATGCCATAAAATACTGAAACATAGAAATACAGAAAAATCCTCCTGTTCTGGGTGTTACATCTCATTCCCTCTTCACATCAGTTTTCTATTATTCCCTCTTCTCATCAGTCTTCCATTATTCCCTTCAACAAACATTAAGCCAGCATTTCCAGCATAGAGTGACTCCTTAAGTGACCAAACGTTGCCACAATCTTTATATGATAAAAAGTTAAACAATTCTCTGCAATTCTGAGTGTCAAGTTGTTTATAAATTCAAAATAAGAACAGTGAGTTTGATAGGTGGAAAAATTTGGACCCCACTGTAACTTTTTTTGGGGGGGAAGAAATAATAGCTCCCAAACATTTTCTATAGTTAATTTTCTTTCTATTTATGTAGTTATTTCACTATTTCTATTCTTGCTTTTGGACTTCTTTCCCCACTCTTCCTTTCAGAATTCTTCTAGTTCAGAAATATTTGTAGGTCTCATGGCATGCACTGCATGTCTTCAACCATATTCAAGAATGCCATTACAAAACATTTACGGTATCTTTCTTTTCTGGTTAACTGAACAAAATGTTTCAGATCATTGTCTTGCTGAAATATCCAATTTCTGTTCAACTTTAAACTTTTTACTAATTACTTGGATACAAAATTTTCTTCCAAATTCTGATTCACTGAAACATGATTTGATCTACTGTGTATGTACAACTTTATATAAAATGGCCACATTTAAAGCAAAATAAATCAGCAGTCCAACATCCTATCCGTGTTCACATACCATGTGTTTACACTCAAAAGGCCCCCATTCATTACTTCCAAGGACTTTCAGCAGGCACTTTCTGCAGACATCTAGAACACGGGTGTCAAACTCATGACATGTCTCAACATTTCGTGACTTTTTTCCCATTGCCGGCAATGGGGTGGGCACAGTTTTGGAGTGGCCCATCCGGCCCGCAGGCCGGCAGTTTGGCACCCCGACCTAGAATAAGCAATCTTCAAATAACTTGGCTCCAAGCTACACTTTGACATGTACCCCATAATATTAGAACTTTGTGGCAATAACACAATAACAATAGCCATATCCTTCATTAGAGGTGCGGTTTAAGAAAAGCCCCACTTAGAGTGTATTATACTAGTTAATCCATCACATGATAAGATCATGAGTCACTGTTGCTAGCACTTTCTGGTCCTGAAAAATCACAAATGGCATAAAACTAAAGCTGGGGAAAAACCTTCCTTACCACAACTTCCATCATATATCCTTCAGATTGGATTGATCAATGACCTTCAATGCCATACTCATGAAAAATATGCCATAATTCATTCCTATATATTTTATCATATTTCCTCTAAATCTAGAGGCATGCAATAAACTTTCTCACGTTCATACATTTTTCAAAGACCTGCAGACAAAGATCCAGTTTGTCTAGCAAAAGACACAATCTACTTCCTAAATCTTGAACACTGTATCTTTTGGTATTCTTTCGATCAAAATTCCATCTGACATCTTCAACTCAACTTTACAAACTAATTGTTTTGTCCTTCTCTTTCTAAATTTCTTTTTGTATAGGGAGACAATAATGCATTCTTCCACGTGATAGAGGGAGTATCCAGGGGAGTGAATTTGGATAAGATTTCTTATAAGGAATTACTTAGTTTGGTTGGGCAAGATTGGCAATTAAAGTGTTTGACTGAGTTGAAGCAAGAAAATATTGTACACTCTTGGTTTCATTATAATCAATTGTTAGTGAGGTGGAGTTTAGATCAAAAGGTTGGTATCACTTTAGAGGATATGAAATTGGTAAAACAGATTAAAGATCAAAGTCAAACTCATATAAAAAAATTTATAATGTTTTAATAGAATTGGATTCTGAAACAGAATTAGTTAAAGACTGTATGATTAAATGGGCGCAAAATATTCAAGAGCCGATTTTATTGGATATATGGGAGACAATTTGGGTTAGAAATGTAAAATTCACTCAGGCGCAAAATTTAAGAGAAAATTTTTATAAAACGTTTTATAGATGGCATTTGGATCCCCAAAAGTTGTCCCGCATGTATCTGAATTTACAGCCCAAATGTTGGAGATGTGGAAATTTAGATGCAACTTATTTTCATATTTGGTGGATTTGTAGAGATATTAAAGCTTTTTGGATTAAGATCTGGTGGAATATTCAAAAGATTTTTAAGAGAAAGATAAAGTTTACCCCACAATTGTTTTTGTTGGGTATTATTGTAGATTTTGATGTTAAAGAAACTAATTTGATGTTGAACCTTATAACAGATGCAAGATTATTGGTGGGGCAATATTGGAAGAAAAACTTATTGCCTACTTTGGAAGAATGGATACTTAAAGTGTCTAATTTAGCAGACATGGCGAAAATCTCCGCCTATTTGAAGGATCATTCACAAGAAAAATATATTATGGTTTGGAGAAGATGGATTGATTACATTCAGAAGAAATATGAGATTGAAAAGTATTATCTTGCTTTTGAATAGATTTTAGATAATTATTATTAGTTTTAATTATTTTATTATTTTTGACTTAAATTGTTAATATTTGTTGGGAGAAGGAGTTAAAGTGTGTTATGGTTTTGATTGATAGTATAGTTGGTTAATGTTAGTTAGATTATGTTGGTTTATTTTATTTTTTATCCTGTAATCAGCTCTGGGAAGTGGGGGGGGGGAAGGGGTGGGGGGTTTATATTGTAATACATTTATAAAACTTTTAAATAAAAAAAAATAATGCATTCTTCCAAATTACAAGCAGACACGCAGCTTCACAAACATATTAAATAAGGAACAGAGCTACTGTGTAAGGAAACCATACCCATATTTTAACATTTCTCCAATTAGGCCATCTATATCTGCAGTCTTACTGTTTTTCAATATTCTCACCAGACATGTATTTATCACTTTCTATTCTTCAATTCTTTTTTAGATTCTTTAGACTTTTATTATCATTCCTTCAAGAAATCAGAGTCATAAATGGACTGGGTCTTTAAATCTCATATTTTAAGAATTTCTTTACTTAGGATTTGGAGAAAATATTATAAAAGTGATTTTAAAGTTCCATTATGGGCTATACCTTGGCATGCGATAGAAGGAATAAAAAGAGGAGTAAAAATGGACATGGTGTCTTATAGTCAGTTACTTAGATGGGATGGGCAAAACTGGCAGTTAAGATTACGGGAAGATTTAGCGCAAGAAAATATTATTTATTCTTGGTTTCAATATAGGCAACTAGTAGATAAATGGAAGGTGGATTGTAAATTGGGTTTTCTTAGAGAAGATGGAAATCTTATTAAGCAAGTCAAGGATCAAAGACAAACC